CTACGAAATTGTTACCCATTTTTGCTCTGGCTGTAGAATGTGGCGAAATGTACGGAAAGCAAAATAAATTAAACATACAACAGTTGCTTCCTGAAATCAAAAGCATTTCGTCCTATAATAATAATAATAATAAATGTATTCAAAAGATATGGATTTCTAAATATAACTGCTTTAGATCTTCTTCAGTCTTAAGTACGTGTTTGATTCCTTTCCAGGCTATGAATCACACACAAATCTCAAACAATATGCTACAAATCTCAAACAATTTTTGCTTTGTAGTTAAAACAAAGAGATACTTTTAATTAGCGACTGAACGGTCATATTTGCTTTCACATAAATTCCTTGAACAATAGAAACTCCGATGCAGTGGCGTAAGTCTACACGTTACAATATTATATTTTGTAATGTACGTGTAGGTACAGCAAATCACTAAAGATTAAAACATGTAAATGTACGAATAAACAAGTTCAGAATGCGATTTTTACGTGCAGTTGAAACTTTGGAGACAATTTCCCATTCATTAACACTGGGAAAATGATTCACATTGGAATTGGCCAGCTTTTCATCAAGCACTGTAAGCAGAGACAAAACCAACAGCTGGACTGGACGATTTGTGTATGATATGAACCCATTCTGCCATCATTACTGAGCTATTTCTGACTTGCCAATATAGAAACAAACATTCAATTTACTAGATATTATCGATCACATGTATTAATAGCTCAGCACTTAGATATCGTTGTCAGGCAATGTTATCAATGAGATATAAAATTTATTGTATTCTGTATTTGTCCTAATTTTAAAATTGATTCACTGTAAGAATAATTACATTAAGTTTTCAGAAATGTTCAAAATAACAATTATTTTGATGTGAAGCTTAATATAGATGAATGAATGAGAATGTTTGCCCAATTTTGTCATTTACCATAGTCAGAATTTATCGACTAATATACTTGATACCTGTAGGATTTTTTGTCTTTCGATGCGGTTGTTTAAAGATTAACAAACGCAGTTTTAGTAGTATATTTTGTTAATTCGACTGTTAATTAACCACTGTAACAAGCGGGGGCTTTAGAATGAACAAAATACAAAATAACTCGGAAATATTAAAGACAAAATATCTAAAGTGGGTAAATCCAGTGCGGATGGTTTATAATAGACCGAGTAGCCAGTTCGCAACGTAAAAACAACCAGAACTAACTAGTGCAGTTTATCGTTTTAAGAATTGCCTGCATATTTCGTTGCACTTGATAGCCATGGTCTAAAGCCAGTATTTGGTGCAGCTGGCAGCAATTGCACCGGGTTATTTTTATTTACACAATATAACTGAATCTTCTTAATGCCATAAAAATACATCTATTTTTTAAATAAGAATTAATAGCAGAGACGGGTTTGAAGTAGACATATGTAGGTAGTTTCAATCGAGTATAAAGATTTACCAAATCAGTAATTTCCAGTTAGTTTAATTATTTTTCCTTCGCTTTCCAGCTGTCTCGATTAAGAAGTTATTGAGTGGTTAGTTTCCCGCTGAATAAATAGGCGAGTTGAAGACATGATTTATTTTCTATAATAACTTACAAAAAGAAAGAAGAGGAAAGAACTTTTTTCACTATTAGCCACATTTTGCTTCTAATTTTCAATTTAATTTAATATCTAACGACAGGCAAACCTTCACAACTATTGAATTAACAGGTAAGGACCGAAGATATAGAATTATCAAGAAACGTTTTCTGTGAAAAAGCTACATTTATTGGAAAGCTATGGAATTAATAATTTCTCCGATGATCTTGTGTGGTCAATCGAAAACCAACACGCTGCTCCAGAAACCCAGTTTCAGAGAAGATTTTCTGTAAAAGTTTGGGCTGCAATAATTAATAGTTAACTTATTGGGCCAACAATTTGAACAGTCAGAAAGAAATATCGATCATTCTTGGAGAAGATCAGAAGGATTTTTTACATGATGACGCCCGGAAGAGTTCTTACTAATTTTCCTAATAAAAATAATGCAAATCGATGGATGGTCGTAGTGGTGCCATTGTTTAGCCGCCGATAATATTTAATTATTCTACAGAATTACTAATTTCCATTATTTGAAATGAAATTTGGCACTCTCTGCTTCTTAGTTCAATTCAGTAATAAATTAGGTAAGTAAACTTGTCTTTTGAGGAGAAGATAATCCCTCCGAATTCCAAGTTGGTGGCTGTTTAAATTTAAAATACACTTGATATTAAACAGTTTCACTAAGAAAAGTAGTGATGAGGAAACTAAGATCAAGATCATGACTTGCAGCCTTGGTCTTAGTCCTGTTCTTGCAGCAACTGACCTGACTCTTGCAAGACTTACATTTAAATAAGTCACAAATGAAATCAATAATAATAAACTTGAAAAATAACAATAACTAATACACATCAATAAAATAATATCAGGGTCTTTGCCATTTGATTTATGTACGATATTCTTACTAATGGAAAAATCTGAAGTTTTCGAAAATACAACAATTTTAATTCTTTTGTAAAAAGATATTATCATATTAATGATAAACTAATAATTTCTCGCAAGGATTAAGTAATTTTACTATTTACAGATCAACTGATTTCAAGACTTTCGCAAGAAATATTGGAAAAAAACTTACTTGAGTTTTCAATGTTTTATTGCATGAGAATAAAAAACATATTTTTTATTAACTTACACTACACTTTCAAGATTAAAGTTAAGAAGGATTAGAACAAATATTAGTATCAATTATCCCCCGATTTAGGTGATCTAGCACAGAAGGAAAAACATCTGAAACCAATTACATTCAACTGAAATATTTAAGCCATGTTTTATTTATCTCCCACTTGTTCAAAGCTTTGGTTCCTAATTTAACGTTTTCTCACTTAAAGTGAATCGTTGGTACCATATTTTGCTGATAACTCGCTTCTTATTTTCGTAAGATTTCTGATGAACGCAATTCGGACGAAAATGTTGACGAAAACTTTGACTATGTCGGTCAGCTAAAAATTATAAAACGCTTGCAAATTAAATACTACAAGATTTTATGAACAGCCCAAAAATGTTCAATCTGCTCAAAAAACATAGTTGATTCCAGTTACCAAATAAAAAGTTCTGGTAGTTTTTGTACCAAATTCACAGCCAGTTTCGCGGAAAGCCTTGAATTTTTTTGCGGAAAACCTATGAATGTTACATTTTCCAAAGAGCTCAAAAATGTTCGAAAAGGATTATTGCATCTATTCAAAAAAAATCCGCTGATTACCAAATAAAAAGTTCTGCTAAAGAATTCATTTGCCCAAAGCCGATGAACTCGGTTGCTTCATCAAAAGACAATCAACTTACAGAAAAATAAAACGTACAGCGAGTTTCATTAAAATCCGCCGTACCGTTCTCCCGATATTAAGAAAAACACTTTTTTTTTAAATTGAAGAACTTTGACCATCAATAGCAGTAGAACCAATATTTTTTAAAATAAAACTTAGATCAGATCGTCATCTTTTGAGCCAAATAACGCCACAGTCCCCCTTTGATCATGTATTTACGGAACACCTTGTACTTATAGTCTTGGTCTTCGTCTAGCTTTTCTACTGGACCCAAGACCAGCTTTGCTCATCACTAAATAAAAGATCTTAAATCATTCTTAAATGCCTCTAAAAAACATTTACACACGTTTTAAATTAGTTTGTTCGCTTTAGATTGTCTAGTGCTATTTGCTGCCAAATATTGTTTAAGGTACGAACAATTCGTGACATGACGCGCAAAATTGTTGCTAATTACCCATTAGATATAATCGAGTTTTTTTGCAAAAGTTTGGGCATCTTTTTTAACGTCCCGCATTGATTGAATCATGATTGGATTGGGCATATTGCAATGCTTACTTTACGAAATTCAATAAAAGCCGATTTGTTACTTGTTTTACCTCTCCTAAGACTTTTAAGGAGTTATTTTATTTGTGTAAGCATGGTTGAATTATTTTTTCTGTAGCTTACAAAACCACACTGCAACAGAGCGTCAAATTTAGCCTAAAATTGGTTCAAGTTTCTGGCTTAATGTTATGGACATTCGAGATTCGAGTTTTTTATTTACGGAAACTGCTTAATATTAAGTGTACAGAGTTATTGATTGCACTTTGGCCACCCCATTTTTGAATCTAATTTGAAATTTAGAGAAAAATGTTAAACACAAAAGTTGTAAATGTTAACGGCTAGTTTATTATTATTGACACCAATTGATACAGGGTGTCTCAAATTCAAGTGACAGACCAAACTTACCTTTTGTTTAATTGGAATGCCGTAAGTTTGGTTTGCCACTTGAATTTGAGACACCCTGTATGAATTGGTGTTATCTTAACTAGACGTTAATATCTACAACTTTTGTATTTACATTTTTTTCCCTAAATTTCAAATTAGATGCTAAAACGGGGTGGCCAAAGTTCAATCAATAACCCTGTAGGTACATATGGGGGATTATCTCCTCTTCAAACAACATATTTACCGAGAAAATCATTTTTTTGGAGAAAAGCTAGTAGGTTTTCTATAACTTTCACTATTAAATTGTCACCAATGCTTTAGTTTTTGCCAAAAAAATGTTACACTTCTTGCTCTACAATCCAAAAGTTTGTTGAAATAACAGACGATAATGAAGACTTTATCGTGTCTCGCTTTCAAATGGGTCACACTGTATGTACAAATTCTAATTTTTTAATGTAATTTCGCAATTCATTCGACAAGACTGAATTTGATTTTAAATCCTAAAACAGCCGTTGTAAGGGCGGTAGTAACATCTCTACTAGTGTTGGTAGTGATAGGATCTTGATTGAAAAACGTCACGTTTTAATCAATTAGTCGAAATGATCGTTAAGTGAAATTAATGAGTGGACTGACGACATGAACTGACAAAGCATTAAACCCGATTGACTGGAGGAGGAAAAGACGACCTGGAGAATTGATGGCATCTGAAATTTAGTAGGAAAAAAATTGACGGCCGCCTCTTAAGAGACTACTAACCTCATTCCACATTCACACCAGCAATAACAAGACCGTATGTGTAATCCTAAACGCACTTTCCATCACCAATTATGCCGTATGTCACTCCTCGCGACACTAAGCATAAAATAGTGTCAGTTGCACAAGCAGGCAAAGACTTATTGGGGTCCCACGCGAAGTGCATCAGCCTGGACTATTTAGACTCGATCGTGTGCTACAAATAAACGTTACAAGAATGTCTGTTTGTCATCGACAAATGGCATACAGAGACGGAAGTTCACTGGAAATTACTCCGCGTGTTGTTTAGGTGAGTCAATCAGCGAATCGCAAATAATACACAACTACTCGTTGAAGGTTGTTGATCTTTTCGAAGAAAATGTTTCCGAGTCCGGCACATCGACATACAAACTCGATGACGGCGAACTGACTGGCTGGACTGGGCTGGAGCGTCGCGCCATGGAGTCGATCGCAGCCAAGGAGAGCGTCATCAGAAGCGGGTTTTCGCGTTCAGCTAATGTGCTTTGCACCAATAAGAACCGTCTATTGCATCGAGAAGGGATTTATGGATATTGTTCACTTCTTGCGTCCAACATGTGTCCTCTCCCATCGCAACATTCAGTTTTAGTAGATCTTCACTTCAGCTGCAACTGATCTTTTCCGGGTCATCGAAGTTAAGATTCACCGCATCATCAACAGTGTCTAGTAATATTTGAACAATCAACTGAGTTCGAATTTTCTCTTCTAATTCAAGGCTAGACGCTCTACAAAAAAAGTCTATATCGTTTTACCATTTTTTTACAGTTTGGTAATTATCAAGGTACCTACTCGCGGGCGCGGTAACCACATCTCACCCTTTAGAAAATTCCTGTACCAATAATTTTTCTGACTGGTGTTATTTCCGACAATGCGGTTTTGGCTCACTCAAATTTAGTACTTTTGCACAAGATAGTAAAGAACGTCGTGATGTCCCTACTATCGGTCAAAATCGTTATCACGGCGACGCAGTTCGGAAAATTTCTCGCATTGGTCGAATTTTGTTTGTACTTCATTTTTGTAAGTGTTTCTTTAAGTTTTGATAATTTTTTGTTAATTTTGATTGTAGGTCTACAAGTTGAGCATAATTTTAACCGCGCACGCAAAAGTCTGATGGTCTTGAAACTGACCGGTTTATTAAATAGATCTACAACATTCTTCGGATTTCCACATTTTCAGCATAAATTCAAAAGCGAAAACTACTTATCGAAAAACAACACTGTTAAAGAAGAACTTGGAAAGTGTTGGTGAATTTGAAAATGTTTGAATTGTTTCGAGATACTTAGTGCTTGTTTAGATTGCTTGCAAACCGGTTGCGCTGAAAACTTATACAAACCTCGGGTTTCCATTGGAAAATTCCATCAATTATTTCAAATCGTTCTAAATGTATACTTAAGAATAGGAAGTCCTATTCTTAAGTTAACTGTCGGAATCCGGCTTCAATTTCAATTCAAATCAACCGTTTTTTAAATATTCACTTTTGAAACTGTTGAGTTTTTTCAGCTTTTAGGTTGTCATGCAAAATAATTTATTTCTGACGTTTCACAAGCACTAGTGGCTTTCATCAAGCTGAAAAGCTGAAATGCTCCCCTGAGGATGCAAGCCACCCATGTTTGCAAAACGTCAGGAAGAAATTTTATTCTGCGACGGCCTAAAATCCCGAAAAACTCACCATTTTCAAGCAAGTTACGTTTGTCTTGTCGGACAAAACCGCTTCTACAACTTAAATGAAAATGACGATAAATGATTAAAAAAATTAAAGCTGGACCACACGGTGTACAGGAAACCGACACATACCGACCGGTACCTGCACAGTGGTTCAAACCATCACCCCAGTCAGAAGAGAGGAGTCATCAAAACTCTCACCGAAAGAGCCAGAAGAATCTGCGAACCAGCCGAGTTAGAGGGAGAATTAAAACACCTGGAAAGGGCCTTTGGTTGGAATGGATACAGTAAGAAAGATTTCAATAGAGCAATTCGACCAAAAAACAGTGAAGATCGCTCGGAGACAACAGAGACGCATGATGAGCAAAAGAGTTGGGCCTGCCTCCCGTACATACATGGAGTCACGGACAGGATCGGCAAGAGACTGGAGAAACACCAAGTAAAAACCATTTTCAAACCAACTCGAACCATCCAACAGATTTTGAGATCGGCCAAGGACAAACGGGATCCTTTATCAGCACCAGGAGTCTACAGAGTTCCGTGCAGCTGTGGAAGAGCATACA